CCGTTATGGAAACTATGGAAGCTATAAAAAAAGGAATGTATGAGGGAACTGTAATCCACAATATTAAAAGGCTTTCCTTGGTGAAGGATTCCCACTTTTTGGGCTTCAAGAAACTACATTCAACATGAAAGAGATTTTGTTTTACTCTCTATTGGTTATTACACATTTTGGGGATTAAATATTTTACTATTTGTTTGCAGAGGGAAACAAACAAAATTGAGGATGAAATTCTGGCTCACTGGCAAAATTCCTGCTGACTTTATTAATGCTAAGATCTTACTCCTAACTCTCAGCAAACACATGCTGTGTGGGTGCAGAGAACAGCCCAGAGCTGCCTCATGAAATAGTCTTAGGTGTTGAGACTCCCCATGTAGAAGCACTGTCTTGTTCCTTGTGTTCAGTCCTCTTGACAATTTTCAAGTGAGATGTAGTTTGGAAGTGTTGTTTTGCAGGGAGCAATACAGAGAGCACAGTCAGAGAGCTTTCTAGGAAAATAATCTTTGGCTCAAGAAAGAAAAATAAATTGGCCAAAGGATGTTCGTTTCAAGTTGTCAGTGGAAATGTGGTGACATGCTTTAACTCTGTCGTAGCTCAGTTTGACCCAGCTGAGAAGTGGGAAGGTTTCCATGCTGGACCGAATCAGTGATCTGGAGTTTGGGTGGGATCTTTATACTGGATAGAAGGTGACTTCTTCTTCAACTACTTGAAACACAGCAAATGAAGATTAGCTGTCCCCAGGGAGTGGATGGATCATAGTTTGGCACTGGGAGTTTGCATGATCAGCATTTCAGGATGAGTCACCTTCTTAGATCTTAACCCGCTGAGTATGGAAATTTTTCTCATTTTTCTCTTTTACAGTTTTTTGTTCATGTCAGGCAGCTTTATCAGATGTGTTTAATAGGAATATGGTTGCTCATATGTCAGAGTTTGTTATTTTGTTTATCACTCTGTTTCTTTAAAATTCTTTGTTAATTAGCTTGAGTTTTTAATTTCTCCTTGTAGGAGTCCAGAAACATAGTGGCATTTCTTTGTTTATTCTATTATCTAAAAAAGCATCCATCCTATTTGCTATTGACAGAAGGGCTTCCAAATATCCCTGAGAAAACCAAGATTTGTAAGAGATTAAGTAGAAAAATGTTTAATATATCACTGAGGTGAAAAATGTAGAATTTAGAGGGGTTTCACACATGGAGTAAAGATGGAGGAAAAAGGGTGTAGTTTTTAGTTCTTCTTTCTCATGATTCTGCAGTTTTTGGGAGCACAAAGAATGACTGGTTTAGACTTAGTCACAGTTTTAATTATGTAAGTAGATATAGAAAACTTATTTGTTAAGATATAATAGCAATACATTTGTCTGTAGTTAATAGGGTAAAAATAGATATGAAGGTGAAGAGACCGCATGGTTTGGGGCCATTTTGTACTATCAGAGCAAAATGAGCCAGGTTGTGGTGAATTGAGCTTGTGCAATCAGTCTGGGTGGACCTGCCAGGTTTTGTAATGACCTTCTAATAAACACTAGAAACAAGATTCTAATGAGCCTGGGAGTTTTCTTCAAATCATAAGAACTGAGATAAGTGGGACTCCCCACACTCCTTGTACAGAAACTGTCCCTCTCACTTTCAGTTACTTCAGTTTCTCTTTTTAGGCTATATTTGCATTTCTTGGTATGCTATTTATCTGTGTACAACAATGAAGCCACATGGCTTCAGAATCCAAATGTCTTTTCACTGCTACATACCCAAAACACTGAACTGTGGTAAAAATTAGTACAACTGTGGACTCAGGATCAGACTTTTTTTTGAAAGGGTGAATTAATGGCACAGTCTCTTGCAATATTTTGGGTTGTTATGAGATAGTATTTTTCACCTTCAGCCTATATTAGTTGTTTGCCTTTTTATAGAATCATAGAATATGTTGGGTTGAAAGGGATCTTAAAGATCGTCCAGTTCCAACCCTCCTGCCATGGGCAGGAGCACCTGCCACTTGGCCAGCTTGCTCACAGCTCCATCCAGCCTGGCCTTGAACACTTCCAGGGATGGGGCATCCACAGCTTCTCTGGACAACCTGTTTCAGTGCCTCACCACCCACACACTAAAGAATTTCTTCCTAACGTCTAATCTAAACCAAGCCTCCTTCAGCTTTCAGCCATTCCCCCTTGTCCTATCACTTGATTCCAGAGCAAAAAGTCTCTTTCCAGCTATTTTGTAGGCTCACTTCAGGTGCTGAAAGATTCTATAAGGTCTCCCTTATGCATTCTTTTCTTCTGGTGATCATCTAGATCTAGTCATAGAAGGACTGAGACCAGCTTTTCATCTGATAAAACAAAATAAATAAAATAAGGAAGGTGAGTTACATAGCAGTAAGAGTCTCTATAGAGACTTTCCACCAGCCTGCTAATGAAAGAATGGAGGAAATTTAAAGATGCCGTATATGCTTCCCCCACCACCTTATTCCTTAGTCAATAGTTATTTTCCTTCTCTTTGTTATATTTTTTTTTATGTTTGCCAAAACTTTAATGTGTCCAGAGAGGGATCAATGGAAAGCAGAGTGTACTATACATGACAAACTCACAACATTTTAACTGAGTTTGAAACAATACCCCAAAATTTTACCAATCCAATGCTGCAGATGATTTCTGATAACCAGAAGTGAAGCTGAGGAGAAGCAAAAGTGAACTAGAAATGCCCTCACTGTCCCAGGCAGGGCCTATGCCTAGCTTAAAGAGTGTTAATAGTGAAAACCTAGTCCATTCTTCACATTTCTTTCAAGCACCTAACATGCTGTTTTGCGAGGCAGTTGAGTACACAGAAATGTGCTGGGTGGAAGTCAGGATGTTGGCGCTATTTGTGCGAATACAGTACACGTTTAGATTACTGTGGGAGTGCAGACAGGTCACTTGGGAGCAAGCACGCAAACCTCATGTTCAGCCTCCTGGCAGGAGCACTCCTGCCAGAAGCGTGATTAATCCCAGCAAAGGAGGGTGTTTATGGGGTGTCACAGTCCTGGCAGAGCAGCCCCGTATGGATGCACACCAGGCAGCTGTGTTTGGACCCACGCGCTGGATCCGTGAGCTCCTCTGCTCCCCTGGGCCTGGGCAGGCTCCAAACGCTGGCTGTGGCCCCAGCCTCTCAGGCACACTCCCCAGGCACTCTCTTATATTTGTACCTACTCTTTAAGCCCTCTTTTTGGGATCACTGCTGTACCACAGGGTTTTTTATATGCTGGCTACATGCAGCTAGTAAGCTTAATGGCAGAGATACAAATCAGAAGAAATGTCTATGCACAGTTTTCTTTGCCTTAAGCCGTAAGCATATCCTGGGTTTTGGATTTTTTATCTCTTAACTCCTCCAAGAAACTCCCATAATTTTTCAGAGCTGAAGTCTAAGTGTTCCCTGGCTTGAAGAGCATGCTTCTTAAGAAACATGTCTTTTGTCCTTGTAGTAGAAATTTGCTTTGACTTTGTTCTGGAAAATTTTCTGAACAGGTGTAAAATAAATCTTCTCTGCTTTAAGCACCACCCATTTTACCATCCCTAAGATGGTTCTGCTTGAATGGAAAATGATTTGTGTTAAGGAGCCTTACTGGTCTCTGTTGTGCTTCTTCACCTTTAATTGAGGAAGTACCTTATCCACTCCATATTTACAAAAGCTTGGTTCAGTGGTCTAGCAATTTCATAACATTTACTAAATTTTGTCCTTCTCACTAAGCGAAATTTCACAAAGTACTAGAGTTAGGGCATGATTTATTGCTCTAGTCAATTATCAGTTTTTCACTCTTCAGGTTTGTGAAATTAAAACTAAATTCAGTGTTAGAAATAATTATTACCTCATAGTATAGAAGATATTTGTGATGTGGGCCACTTTATTCTTTGTAAGTTTATTTATGACTTTGCCTCTTATTTCATGCCTCAGAGAGGATACTCTATTTCATAGCCACTCAAGAAGTATGAGTTTGTGTTTGTGTTTAAAAAGCACTGATGGTCTACATAGGCAATTTTACCACATTCTGTTCTGCCTTTCTACTTGCAATTCACTGCAACTATTCTGCACCTAAACACTCCACTCAAGGTATTCCAAATATACATGTAATTCCAGAATCTACAGCCTACTTGGGTATCCCTTAAAACACTAAGTTATACTAAGTTTTGTGTGCATTTGTAATGTAACAGTGAGGTATTTTTTATCGGGTGTTCTAGTGGTGCAGTAGGTTCTGTTGCCAATATCTCCATTATTTCTGAGACAAACCTGTTTTGCTGTGGAGAGAACAGCAGAGTTACAAATCAGATGTGTAATTGAGCAGGAAAAGCATATAAAGGAGACAGTGTTTAGGTTCACTTGTCATGTTCCAAACACTGGAGAACTTAAGTCAATTTTCTGTTCTTACAGAGCTGTTATCTTTTTATATCAGGCAGTGAGCAATGCCAGTTCCTGTGCAGAATAAAGTAGTGAAATCCATACTGCACCTGGAAACTACCCATAGTCTTTGCCTTTGTGGAATCCCTTTCTTGACCTTGTGACCTCAAATATGAAGAGCTGCCAAACACATTGTCTCTGGCTATAGATATTGCTGAGATCTTATTTCAAGTGTGTTGGAGTTATGTGGGGTATGTAATACCTATGCTGATTTTTTCTTTTTTGTGTTCCTCTCCTTTACTTTCTATCTGAGTCCCAGCCAACATTTCACTCCTTTCCACACATGGATCTCATCAACACAGAAGGGAAGGTAGGAAAATGCCTGGTTGGTGAAGGGCTTTTCCAGAAAAAAATGGAGAGATTGGAATACTTGGCTTCCTTGAATGATGTGGGCAGGAATTCTGTCCAGCAATAGGGCAAATCCCGCTGGATTCTGTACATGCTGCTCCACAGTTCCCTTCTTGTTTCCAGATCTGATGTGTTCCGATAGTGTATTTGTGGGTTAAGGTACTTGCTTATTTTGTTCTAGTACTATGATCATTATCTGCTCTTTTCTGTTCTACTGCTAAGGATACATTATTTTGTCAGGTTTGGGATGAAACTCTTGCCAAATCTGCTGAGGCTTGGGCTGCTACATGCATTTGGGACCATGGACCTTCCTATCTTCTGAGATTTTTGGGCCAGAACCTGTCTGTAAGAACTGGAAGGTAAGAAGATACCTTACAAAGCAATTATTTTGTCAACCTTTGAACAGTCTTTGAGATCCAGATGTTGGACTGATGCAAGTTTCATCCAGTATTCTGTGTTCTGTATCTGTCAGTGTTCATTTGGCTTGAGATTGTTATTACTTGATACTCTACCCCTAGTGATGCGAGGAGAAATCTAAAATGACACGTTTTTCTTTCTGTGTTTTAAACAAACCCAGGTATCGATCTATTCTCCAGCTGGTAAAGCCTTGGTATGATGAGGTGAAGGATTATGCTTTCCCTTATCCTCAAGACTGCAACCCTAGGTGCCCGATGCGATGTTACGGACCCATGTGCACCCATTACACACAGGTTATATAAATTATTTTCCTCTATTCCAAAACTCATGTCCAAAAACTGGACTTTCCTATGATGTATTTATAACCCTCTCTCTCAATTAAATGTATGTGTGTATATATAAATAAATGTATATGTATATTCCTTTTCAATTTGGACTTCACCAATGATAAATATTTATTCAGATGGTTTGGGCCACTTCCAATCGTATAGGCTGCGCAATCCACACATGCCACAATATGAACGTCTGGGGATCTGTTTGGCGGCGAGCTGTTTACTTGGTATGCAACTATGCCCCAAAGTGAGTTGCTCTCTTATTTTTGTTTATTTTTATACTTTGTGCATGTTTTTGGTCCTCTCATAGGACTGCTTACTCCTTTTTCTGCAGCATGACCTCTATTTGTGCTTTTTTTCTGTGGGCTGCTCGTTTGTTCAAGCCTTCCATCTGAACATACAGAAATGTATGACTTCGGTATACAAGGAGGAAAAAGAATCAACTTGATGTGTGTGGAACAGAACAAAAGACTAGTTTTTCTTTTATTTTTTTTATTATTGTTTTTTTCTTCCTTCTTTGTGCTGACTTTACTTTACTTTGAATTCCTTGTTTCTTCACTCTTTTATACATAGGTGAGATGAATTAGGCTTCCTCAGGTAAGCAATCCCACCATAAATCAGGGTCTTGATTTACTGACAGGGTGGTGGGTCTATGTAAAATTTCATTGCCACTTATGAAATTCAGTGAGGCCAAACACAGCTAGATTGGGTTAATCCAAGCACAGGTACAGACTAGGTAGAGAATGGATTGATAACAGCCCTGAAGAGAAGGACCTGGGGGTGTTTGTGGATGAAAAGCTCAATATGACTTACCAGGGCACGCTTGCAGCCCAGAAATCCAACCGTTTCCTGGGCTTCATCAAAAGAGATGTACCCAGCAGGTGATTCTCCTCCTCTGCTTTGCTCTCCACCTTGAGAGCTGCATCCAGTTTTGGGGTCCTTAGTACAAGAAGGACATGGACCTGCTAGAGCAGATCCAGAGGAGAGCCACTAAATCGATCGGGGCTAGAATCCCTCTTTTATGAAGACAGGATGAGAGAATTTGGGCTCTTCAGCCTGGAAAAGAGAAGGCTCCAGGGAGACCTTGTATCAGCCTTCCAGTACCTGAAGGGATCTTATAAGAAGGCTGAAGAACAACTTTTCACAAGGGCATGTAGTGATAGGACAAGAGGGAATGGCCTTAGCTTAAGGCGGCTTGGTTTAGATTAGACATTAGGAAGAAATTCTTTACTGTGCGGGTGGTGAGGCACTGGAACAGTTCACCCAGAGAGGTTGTGGACTCCCCATCCCTGGAAGTATTCAAGACCAGACAGGATGGGATTGTGAGCAGCCACAGCTTGGTCCAGTGAGAGGTTCCCTGCCTGTGGCAATGAGGTTGGGATGAGTTCGTCCTTAAGATTCCTTCCAACCCAAACCATTCTGTGATTCATTCTGTGATACATGTCATTGCCCACAGGATACCTTTGCTTATGACCATGCCACATAATCCTTAGCATTGCTTCCATATAAGCTCCATGTGTGCCAATCTATCTCATCTTGCCTTTCTTATTAGGGTGTGTTAAAATACAGGCCATAGACACCCATAGGTGGCCCTATATCCCATAACTTACAGAGGCTTGTGTTAGGTTGAAATGCAGAAATTAATTTTCCTAGACATCATCCCAGGCTTACATTTGGGTGCAGAATGAGTCAGTGAAGTGTGGCTCTGGGAGACTGAGCTCCAGTTTGCGGTCTGGTTTGCACCACTGTTGCCGAAGCCGCACAGACAGTGTAAGTGGCTGCTTTCTCTGACTGTGCATTAGGCAAAGACATAGTTCTGTATAGGAACCTGAGTATAATTAATTGAGCATGTTTTCCATAAACTCTTGGTGGCACAGGTCCATTTGTGGTAAAGAATATGCAAGAATATGTCATTACTCTAGCTGTTACATGAGTAAAAGAATTTTTAAAGGTTTTGCAACTGAAAAATAGATAGGATTTCGTAAGTTTACTTGGGGAAAAAAAACACCTTTGGAAATCAAGGAGATTTCTCTATCCTTTTGTATTTAGTATTTACTGGAAAAGGATGGTAAGAAATGAATGTGAAGGAACAAAAATTTGGTAGCAAAAAACTGTATCTGACTTATAGCTCCACAACATGGACAAGATGAAATCAAAGTTTCTAAGAGAACTTTTATGTATCTTATTTTGAAAAAAAAAATTAAAAATTATAAACTTTCTGGAATATTTATTTTCATATATAGGAATAAAATGGATTTATACATTAGGCATTTTTGGAAACTGATTTAGTATTTGTGTATCAGGTAGCAATGAATTAATGACATTTTATATTTTCTGAGTCTAGAAGTCCCACAGCTTTTCAAACAGCAAACCAAGCCTGAAGTTGCAAGCTCTTTCACTGTGAGATTTTGAGTAGACCTTTCAGTCACGGGAAGTAGAATCATGATTGTCACATCTAGTTCTTGCAGGGTCACAAAAATTACATTGAGCAGTCTTCCCTGGACCTAGTTTGTGTTTCTATATTTAATTAAGTACATTGGGCTTGGAGTCTTTGGGCACAGACATTTTAAAGTCTTTTTGCCACTCGGTAACATCTCTGTCCTGAGCAACTAGCACATCAGAAACTCCTCTAAAGAAGAGAGTGAATATTGCAGCCCCAATCTAAGTTACTAAGATTGGAATTTGGCAAAGATTTAATATTTATAACTCCAGTAATTTTCACTGGTGCCATGCTGTAACAATGAAAAATATTTATATTTCTGAAATGAGTGAAAACCCCCTGAAGTTGAGAAGGATAATTGCAGTTTAGTAAGGCCCCAGATTATCTAACACAAATCCACCATGTGTTGCACAGAAAATGAAGCAGAAAGCAGTTTTCAGCAAACTCTGAATTTCCATATCTGTTATCAGACTACATATTTTTCCTGAGCACTTAGTCTGCTGTACCCATTTGGAAGAGAAGTAAGAATGAGCAAATTACTTGAGATTCCTACTTTCTTCCAAGGCACAACCCAGACCAGGGCTTTTGATTCAGTGTTACTGGCTGGGAGGTGGGGGATGACAAAATGTTTCATAAATAATTGCATTACTCACTGCTATTCCACGTCACATGCAAACTAAAGGAAAGCTCTCTGCTCTGTGAGACATAACATTTAAATAAAAATCTAATTTTAACTTTCTGCCTACATCATGAGTGTTACATGATTCTCTAAAAGTCTGTGGTTTATATAAACCCCTAAAAGTCTGGATGTGTTTTTCAGATGTTTCTAGATGTTTCAGAGTTGCCTCTTTTCGTATGATCACTCTCCAGACTTTGTACCCCTTTCCCCCCCTAGGGTCTGTTGTGCACTTCTGTCCATCAGACAGAAGCCCTCCTTCTCCTCTCACCTGCATCTGTCAGGCCTCTGGAAATTCCCCAATCCAGTTCCTTTTTAATATATTACTGGTGCAAATAGTTTTTAACATCGCCTTTTCTCTAGTAATGAATTCAGCCTCAGAGCTTCACAATGTGAACCTAGGGTGGTGCAACCTAATAGTATGGTTTCACTTGGTTTGTTTTTCCATATTCCAAGCACAAGCTTCTAAGATAACTGCCAGACAAAAATGTGCTCAAGGAAAACCTTGCACCAATGCTTATTTTGCTATTTTTTGTAAATATAGACCTCTAGTGAAAAATACTCTGTCATGGGATCAGAGAAACAAAAATCACTTGGTTGTAGCAAAAGCAAGAGGACTGGGACTGCACCACTGAGACTAAAGGATATGGAATGGATATTACTGGCCTGGATTCACATGGTCATTTTCCTGCTCTTATTTAGGAATTGCTAGATCAATGTTTATCAGTAAACTACAGAAATAAACTAATGTCATGTTTATGGGATATCAGTGGAGACGTTAATTTTAATCACTCAAAACAAGTATGGTTTAATGATTTTTTTCTTCCACTCTGAAATTATTAAGCATTATTTTTCATTTTTTATTTTCAGGGGGAATTGGATTGGAGAAGCACCCTATAAAGTAGGAGTTCCATGTTCAACTTGTCCTCCAAGCTATGGAGGTTCTTGTATTGACAATCTTTGTTTCCCAGGAGTAACATCAAACTACTTATACTGGTTTAAATAAGTTAAGGTTAACATTATTTTAAAGAATACCCACAGATGAGTAACAAGAACCTTGTGTATTGAATTTTGCACATATTATATATAGAGAGATATTGTAATAATACTCTGATATTTTCTTTTTGTATGCTTTTGTATAATTAGCTTTCAAAGTACAGTATAATTCGGTTTTAACACTTTGGGATTTAAGGCTTGCATTATCCCTTTTAGATTAACATTTTGTTAAAGGAGAGCAAACTCATTTTAATCTTAGCAAGTGTAGCTTCCTGAAGATTAGATTGTATTAAAAGCACATCAGAAAGTAGAATATTACTTCTTTTAAAAAATAATAGCTCTAGAAAGAGAAGGGTCATTGTTTAATACTGTGCTTTAAAAATGGAGTGTGACATGCAAAGCAACAAATTGTCCTCGCACTCCTGATGGTTCCTCCTGTTTACACCTGTGCTTTCACCTGCAATGTCAATGGGACACTGAGCAGAGGAAAACATATGTGCAAGAGAAACTGCAGGATATTACCTACCTCATGCACAGCATCAGTTCATTTATGGTGTTTCAAGAGTTCAGCACATGGCTGCTGCTATCACATGTCTGTGTGCAGACAGGAATATTAAAGGAATGAGGAACCACACTGACTAAGATGCAGTGGCTGTTAACTCACATGCCTAAAGTCTCACCTAGATAGACTGCTACATCACTTCAAAAATACTGGTATAACAGTGCAGCTTGACTCTACCTTCCTGTATTTCTGAACACAGCCATAGTTCTATAATGGTGCTTTGCAGGATTATATTTATTCTTTTACAGGAAGAAATAGGTATATATGTTATCCCTTTGACTGAAATTCAGCTGAGAATCAGGAGAGATCAGACCTAAAAATAGATAGGAAGGTTTCTAAATAAAAGACATTAGGGAGCTTTAAAATTCAATATAGATTTGCAAAAATTCCAAATTTCTAAAGTGATTGCCAGTGCCCATTAAAAACTTATTGCACTATTTCCTGAAAATATCCATGTCCAGTATTAAAAACCAAATCTGCCAAAAACTTTCTGCCAAAACCTGAATGCCTTATGGGTTCCTAGTAGAGACATTAAAACAAAAAAAAAAACCCCAAACTATTATACAGGTACTTTTCTTGAAAACCAGATTATTAAAAGGAAGAAATCCAATGTCTGCCACTATTACTAGATAATTGAAATAGCCTTGAATTTTGTTACATGGCAGAATGTACCCTACTTTAAATATAAATGTTTAGTCTGCTTGCACTGCTGCATTTAGACCTCTGAAATTTTTGAACATTGAAAAGCAATACTGAGTAGAGCAAGTGGAACAACAGGATAATTTTACTAGAGCTACATATGTATGTATCTTTAAATCACTAATTCGGTCTTTTTAGGGTATTTGAGACAGTCTGTCACCAGAACATGAAGTAACATGCTGGTGATATAAAAAGAAAGATGAGAATTAGAATTCTTCACGTTAGTTATTCTTTCTCTCCAGCAAGATATCTGTAACAGGCAGTATAGTGTATGAAATGTAGCAGCCCTTCTCTATATGTCCAAACTCTGATCCCTCAGAGAACATCAGCAGCTGATTTATGGCTCTTCAGATACTTCTGGTCAGTGACACTTCTGTATCTGATAGGTCAAGAACTAGACAGGTATATTACCTTTAGATGTGTCCATGTTGTAAAAGGATATCTCTTTGTAATTTCTACTAACTCTTACACAATATAAACATTTTTCCTTTTGTTTTCAAAGGAGTTTGGACTTGAACAGTACTCAATCGGACAAATACTTTGGCAGAGTAAAAGCCAGTCCTATTTTGGGAGTGAAAGACAACCTCTTTGCATTATCTGTGTACACACTGAAATAAATGAGTGAGACAAAACTACTTGGTGGGTCATTAGCCCCTCAGCCAGCATAGTTTTTGACAAAGATGCAGGTGAAAAATGCATTTTTGGTCTGCATAAGAAATCTTCTTATGCAGTGGTAAAGACAGCACAGTTAAAGCAGTGCATCTAGCCATTTTCATGTATTTTTATTTTAAGTACAAATAGGAAGCAGAGCATAAGAAAAAATTCAGGTTAAGCCATGGAGCCTTCAACAGTAGGTCTAACAATAAATGACTATGCACTTTGAAACTTGCAACTTGTATGTTGTATGGTACACTTTCCAAACAGGACTAGACATTGTAAATTAATTTATAATTCTGTAATTCAGCTGAAATTATTATCACGGGTATATATATGTTATCATATCTGTTACTTTTTAAGTTGCTACAAATACCTTGATTTTGTGGAATATTTTGTTTTCTGTGAATATAGAAAACTTTGCATTTAACAAACAGGTATACAGGTTTTTTCACAACATCCCATAATGGTGCTAGGGATTAAATATTGTAATCACACTGTAATTGACAGCAGCAAAATATGATCTGGAAATAAGCTATTTCATACGAGCAGCTCCTGATAAAACCAGCCACAAGCACTCAAGCATTAGCTGAATATTTTTCATTTAACAGAGAGGATTACAGATCTTCAGGAATTTGATTGCCACATGAAATCTCCACTTAAGAGTAGAAGACCTTTCTGTATTGCCCATTTGAATTGCCCCAATTTCTATTATCTTTTTGTTCTTGGGCCAGGTAATGACAATGCCAGTAAAGCTCTATTTTGATTGCCAGTGCCAGTGCTTCCTGCCTGACTACCTGACACCAAGTGCTGCTACAGATAAAGCACTGAAATGTGCAGAAGACTTCAGATGTCTTTGGCAGCTCTAATACATGCTGAGCTTGAAGAGTTCAAGGCCATGCTGAGGCAAACCAACTCCAGTTGCTATTCTGATGGCCTTGAGGTACTAATTTCTTATCAGTAGAGGGGTGTGCCTTTAAAGACAGAAATTAGCTCAGACTTCTGTTCTAAATATAAAATTGTAAAAATATGCAGAAGTTAAAATAAGGCAAAAATTATTTTTGGTCAAAATACTGTGAGATGCATAAGAGTAAAAATTACATATAACAAAATTTCTGTAATTAATTATTGAGTACAGCTGTTTATAATAATACCTGCTTGTGACTTTTTGCCTCATTTAAACATCTAAGGTGATGGGTAGCAGTTGATACCTTTTGGTGCTAACCTCTGTGTTCTGGTGCTGAAGTTACAGATTATTTTTTGTGGAAATATTACCATATGAACTCAGTGTTTGTGAAATCTTTTTCAGCTAAACATATAACTTACCACCAGGTCAGATTTGCTTTCAGAGTTCCTTTTTTATGGCTGTTTCAGGCTCTAATAAGAGTTTTATGTGCATCAGAGAGGAAAATGTATTCCAGTTCAAAACCAAAACAAACAGTACCCTCCCCTCATCACAACAGGCAAGTGCCTGTGGAACAAATTATGGGGAGAGTAAGACCTCTGAGAGTCATGACTTCAGATTGATGCTGAGCAAGTTTTAGACTCAGATTCCAGATCGTCTCTCTGAAAAATAAATGACTTCAGAAAACCTGGGCTTGACCTTGCACACTTATCCTTGGGATCTGTTCTTTGAGATCAGTTTTTTTCCCTCCGTATTTGAGGTGAGTTTGATCAGTGAAAGACAGGAGGAGTTCTAATATAACTTCTGCAGGAATGAAAAATTGGATTCCATGAGAGCTTTGTGAACAGCAAAATTAGACTTCATATGCCATGCCCTATTAATACTGGGAAATACCATGTGGCTTTGAAAGAGGAAACCTCCCAGAGCAAAATTACTGTGTTTGCGCAGAAATATATCTGTGTCTATATCCATATCTATGTCTGTAGGTGGGTGGATAGGTGGGTAGATATATGTGTTAATACATTTTCTCTGAGGATCAGGTTGCAAACATAGATGCCCTCTTGTGGGTGAGAATGCCACTACCCATATACATAGGAATCCAAGAGGTTTTAGGATTTTTGGAAAACAAATGAAAATCTAAAGTTTTTGCCTTGATTTTAGAGACATGACTTTGTCTGTTTCCTTTGAGAAAAGAGTTGCAGTGCACAGCTCTTCCATTTCTTAGTTTTACATGATTTTTAAGTACAGAACACAATTACAGTTTTATTAGCTGGTGACTACCTAACATACAGAATTTTATGAGTATGAGGTAAAACAGAGTTATTCAGATGTCAGGAGAATTTTTAGAAGTGTTAAGTCAGATATAGTTCTTAAAAACCAGGGTGTGGGAGGCCTCATTACTCAGATACTAAAATGTAATGATCCCTAATAAAATTTTAAAGGCCCAAATTGCTCTTGCAATCTGCCCATTATTGCTAAATTTTCAAGATAAAACTCTTGTTTTCCTATTCAAAAATGAGATGATCTTGGAATCCAAGCACCCAAAATGATTGTGGTGCTTTTTTAAAACTGCAGAATTGAAAATTTGTATGCTCTGCTTCTCAGATCATACATAATTGATCTGGTGGTCCCAAAGTGTACAAATTCTTCTTGTTTAAATTTGCAAGCAGAATGTTGAAATTTTATCAAATTTTCAGCCTGAAATAGCAATAACCTTCTCAAACTGCTTTCTTGCAATAGAAAACAGTTGAAAAAATTAAGAAAAAGTAACAATTACCCATCTGATTAATTCAACAGGTGGGCAACAGCCTATCTTTTTAATTCAAGAAATTATAAACAAAATTGATTACTGTTGGTAATTTGAATACTTTCTTTCTGTTTAGACTTAATTTCCCAACTTTCCCTCAGGGTCGAGTTATTTTCTGTTAGAAAAGAATTACAAGGTGTTGCATTTTTAAATTCACACAAGTCAGTGGAAGAGATAGAAAGTTTTGATTGTTATCCACATTCTGCAGAGTTCCCCTGAGCGTGATATGTGAAAAATCCAGACTGAAATGGTTTCATTTCATTATCTCTTTCTGCCAAAAGACAAAATTCAGAGTTGAAGAAGATTTTGGCACATTATCATTGGGTAATAAGATTGTAAATTTTTTAAAGTGCCTTATACTGAAAATGCATATAAATTATACTTAGGGTTATTTTGGCCAGCAGGAAAGAGAGGGAATCTCTCTCAAGTTATATGTTTAGCTCACAACAGCAATTGTCATTCAAATCACTGTCTGTTCATCATGCTGCTAACTCACTACAGCTTTGATAGACCATCCTGTAAGTCAGGAAGTATCTTAGATGTGATGTTTAAAGTAATAATTTTTTTCCTGAAGAGTGAGTGGTAATATTGGAATCAATAGCTCTTAGGAGTTAAAAAGCTTTGTTTCATGTAAGGCGCTCTATTATAATTGAAATGGTGCTTAAAGGCAGGGTTCATTTAAGACACAAACCTTCTACAGATGCTTTTTTCCGTGTGCAACAAGGGAAGATTTTTCTGAGGCTTAAAGATGCTGGGGATTTGGAAATAAGTATATTTCTATGCTTTTTTATCTGAACCCATGTCAAAAAAAAATGTTCAGTGTTTATAGAGTGAAATGCTCTTTCCCCCTCACATTATATTTTTTCATTTTTCTTTAGGTTTTTTGATAATTGTGTGGGTGGGGTTGTATCTGGTTTTTTTGGAGAAGAAAGCTTGTTGTCTAACATGTGTTGCAGTGAACTTAACAATGTATCATTTGTGTTGTCATATGACTCTATATATATGTTATACCTGAGATATAAATTTGTACCCGTTTCAACTTCTAATGCTATGAAACTGTACATCATTTTGAACTAATTTGTAGCATCTATGCATTTAAATAAATAAGTAAAATTATCAATATTTACAGTTTATGTTGTTTTGAGACATCTTTCGTTGTTTCTTTTTTCCATTTGTACCCCAAAGAC